CAGGCGCCCCTAATTTCATATTTTAAAAATCCACTGTTGAATACATCTCAGTTAAACTGCTGATATCCACAGACTGACCATATTAACAAGTGGCCACAAAGATAAAACATGTTATTACTCTTAAAGACCAGCTATTTGTCTGACTGCAAACTTCTCAATAATCACAAACTCAGAAGACAGTAGAATAATAGTTTCATGGCTCTAAGGAGAAATACATATTAATGTAGAATTGTATAATCAAGTAAATTGTCATTCAAGAATGAACTTTGAAACAAAAACCAAAAGCATTTACCACCTTTATCAAGGGAACTTAAAGGAAGTACTTGAGATTCAAGAAAATTGCTGGGTGATTCTGGAAAGGAAATACTAAGATTACAAGCATAATTTATTTGTAACATTAGAGATTTTGTAGCAATTTTCCCCAAAGCACTTTTTAATAGATAAGTCAGATCCTTAAGAAGTCAATAGTAAGGAATTATTACCCCCAAGATTTAAGAGGAAAGAGAAGCATGGAACAGTTAAAAGATAAAGGCCAAAATTAAGAATTAATTTTGCTCCTATATCTAGGACACAAGTGATTTATTTCCATGTGGTTATTAAAAATAATGCTTCTGTGAATATTTTTTCATATTTTTAATATACCCATGTGTTTATTTATTTTGGACATATAACTTAAGAGCAGAAATGCTTACTTATAAGGTATACTTATGTTCACGTTGCACAACTTCCAATATTTATGACATAATCAAAAATTCCTAGAAGGCCTGGAATCATAAAGCAAGTTGAGCTAGTTTTTAAAATACCCTTAACTTGGATATCTACCCCCAGCCTACAATGATCTTTGATGCTATGGCTATGCTAATTCTATAGTGTCCCGATGTATATCAAAGCTATGATGTGAAAAGAAGCTTATATTTGTTGAGTGCCTAATATGTGTCCCAAACTGTGCTAAACACTTCACATATATTATATGTTTTAATCTTCATAATAATCATCTACAACTCACATTTCACAGGTGAGGAATATGAGGCTCAGATAAATGAATTCATTCTCCATGGTCACATATACAGGAAATGTAATGCATTGCCACAGAAAAAACAATGAATATGGTACAGCCTGGAGGCCCTTTCAGTAGAAGAATCCTAGGGTCAGGGCATCTCTGGATAAACTAGCCTCACTAAATGCAGAGACAATATGAATCACAATGCTTATAGAAGACTAGGTGTGCTAACAGAGACTATATTATAATAAAGTGATCTCAAAATACTGTAACTTAAAAAATAGAAATGCATTTCCCTCCCATCTAATAGTTCAGTGGGCTGGCAAGTGCATTAGTCTTGCTATCAGAAACATGTGACTGCCTAGGATTTTCTAGACTTCGCTAGTTCTCAGCCAGAAGCAAAAGCGAAAGAGAAAACACAAGAAACAAACTGCATTCATCAAGTCTGCTCATGCAGCATTGGTCCACACTTAATCATCGGACCACCCCTAGAGGCAAAGAAAGCTAGAAAATGTAGTCAGTAAATTGGTCAAAGGCAGTCAGGTGTCCAGCTGAAATTCAGAGGGTACTATTTTTAAAAAGAAAAAAAAAACAATGAATATGAAAAAGTAGAAACCTCTGCCTCATTTACTAGTCAGACCTGACAGAAATACAGGACATGTGCCAAGATGTAATAAGGAAATGACTTGAAAAGCAGGTGTAAAATCCAGTTGGGGGAGGCTTGAATGTCCATCTGGAGAGAGTGACTTAATATGGTAGTTAATGAAAGCTTTTTTAAAAATAAATATTTTTATTGGAATGTAAGAGTCAAAATGCACATATCATAAATGTACAGACTGCTAAATTTACACCCATGTACCCATGTGAGAATCACTCAACTCAAGAAATGTAAGTTTCAGCACCCCACCAGTATCTCCATGCCCATCCCAATCACTAACCTGGTTCACCTCCTCAAAGATACCACTACCTGACTTCTCCACATGGATTAGTGTTGCCTGTCTTGTCATGACATGTTTGTGGGATTCATACATGTAGTATGTAGCAGGATTTTTTAGTGTTTTACTGCTGCACAGTATTTCATTCTAGAACATGCCACAATTTATCTAACTGTTGTCCTCAAGATCCACGTTGGAGCACTTTTCAGCTATTAGAAATAATTCTGCTATAACAGTTTTCCTTGCATCTTTTGGCGCACCCATTACTCATTCCTTTCGGCTATAGACCCAAGGAGTAGAATTGCTTCGTAGAATATACCTATGTTCAACTTTTGTAAATCAAAATAGTTGTTTTTTTTTTTTTTCTCAAGTAGCTGTATCATGTATTGTCTCCCTGGAAGTATACTGGTATTCTATTTATGCTACATTCTCACAGACACTTAGGAATGTCATTCTTTTTCATTGTAGCCATTCTGGCAGTTGGGATTTTCATTTGTCTGATGACTATTCTAGTGGTTTTAATTTTCATTTGTCTGATGACTACTGAGGTTGAGGACCCTTTCTTATATTTATTAGTCATTTGGAGAACTACTCTTGTTGAGTATCTCTCCTAGTTGCTTACCCAATTTTTCATTGGGTGCTCTTTTTAATTTATAGGAGCTCCATAGATAGCCTGAATATGAATCCTTTGCCAGTTTGTGACTTTCTTCTCAGTGAACAGCTTTTGAATTTTTTGAATGAGAGAGTGGCAAGAATAGTTCTACGTTTTGAGAAAATTCATCTGCCATGAATATGAAACAGTCAAGCAGAGAAATGTTAAAAGGATAATATATGTATATTTCCTGATAATGCAATTTTATAATGAGAGCCTAGTTTAAATAGAGGGTAACGATAATAAAAAGGAAAGGAAAAAGATGGGAGAGATATTTTACAAAGGATTAATTCATCTATTCAATACAGAGAAGACTTGATAAGTGATTAAGAAAAATATGGGTTATAGGCCATTAATGAAGGATAGTGAATACTTGATAAAATGCAGTAAATACTGGTTTTAGGAACTTAGGAAAATGGAAGTTTTGAATTACTGAAGAGTGTTTACTTTGGAATTAGTGTTTACTATGATGACCACATGAAGTAGCAGCAAGGCCCAATGTTTCCCAACTTAAAGGCATTTTATCATTCTTGTCATGATTAACAATACCATATGCATTTTCTTTTCAAATCACTCAACGAAAAATAAAATGACAAAACATAGGCTTAAAGAAAGGAATTTTTTTTATAATCAAAAAAAGAACAGAAAACTCCTCAAGGAGGATTTTCCCAAGAAGGGATATTTGAGGAGTAGCAACCCTAAGGTTGTCAAAACATTTCCCATTTCTTCCTACCCTCAAGACTAGACATAATGCCTTTCCTTTTCTGATTCTTAGAATTATTTACAAATGAGTTAGAAGTAAGGCTGCAAAACTTCCCTCAACCGCCTTCATTAAAAAACCTTATCAGAATGAGATATCAAGTCCTCGATCATTATCATCAGCACCAATATCATCATCTAACTTTTAATGAGCACTTACCATGCACTGTATATTAATATGCATTATTTGATCCCTATAAAGTCCTGAAAATAAGTATTACACTATTATTGCTATTCTATAAAAGAGAAGCTTAAGCAATTTGCTCAAAGTGACATGACTAGTAAGTCATGGATCTTGGACACGAACCAAGGCAGCTTGATTCTAGAACTTCTTCCATATCTGTTGCTCTGTATATTCTTCTTGCCAGCTATCATGTAACAATCACTGACAGTTAAGGCCATAAAAGAATAAGAATCATAACAATTGGGATTTAGTAGTAAGTACCTAAATGTGGAAAGTCCCATATGGCATAGTGTAATCTAAAGACAGAAATGAAATTGAGGCCCAATCTGAGTGACAAGGACTACTGAAAATACCTCATGTCGGTTCACTCATCTCTCTCTCTCCACTTCTACCCCCCTCCCCCGCAATTATCTATCACTAATTTTCTAACCAGGGACACTTCTGTAGTCTTTAATTTCCTCTCCATCTCTAAACTCTCACCTCCTCTAGTTCATTCTCCACCCTGTGGCCAGAATAATCTTTTTAGATTATAAAACAGCTCATGTCAGTCTTCTTAAAAACATTTCATGGCTTCCAACTGCACATAGGATAAACTCCAAACTCCTTTTCAGGGCCCACCAAGTCCTACAAAATCTGACCCCAGCTTCTCTTTCCACCCTCACCGCTCCCCACTTTCCCTTCTCACTATGCACATTGATTTTTATGTCAATGCCTTGAATACAAGAAGTCCTTCTCTACCACAGGATCTTTGTGACTGCTATTCTCTCTGCCTAACCTGTTCTTTCTCCAGAAACTTAAATGTTTGGCTTCTTCTCATCCTTCAACTTAATACAAGAACTTTTCGTTATCATATACCACCCTGGTTACTTCTGTGGCAGACTTTCTAAAAAGCTGTAATTGTATTACTTAGTCATAAATGTATTAATCTATCTTCCTCACTAGAATTAACCTCCATGATGGTGTCTACCTGGCATACACTGAGACCAATAAGAAATTTGATGAGATGAATGCAAAAATCAATAAATGACTCTATGTTTCTTATCTGGGGTAACTGGGGGGATAGTAAGGTCATCAACTGAGATATGAAATACAGAAGGAGAAGGAAGTTTTGAAGAGGAACATAGTTCAGTGAGGAAGAGGTTGAATTTGAGATGCCTGAAGGAAAGACCAGCAGAAATGTCCATAGGTAGGAATAAGAGTCTAGCATGTAGAGAAAAAAATTGGACACAATAGCACCGATTTAGAAGATGAGAGAATAATGAGGCAGGATTAGTTTTGGATATGAAAGAGAAGACCCAGGAAGCTATGAAGAATGGATAAAGCAGAAGACCAACCTGCAATATAAAAGAAGGAAGAGGAAAATGGAAAGCATGATAGAAAGCCCTGAAGGAGATCAGAGAAGAGCCAGAAGAAGATGGAGACAGATTTGCAAGGAAGAGGAGAGGTTAAGTGAAGAGGGTCAAATTCTTAGGAGAAGCTAAGTAGGAAGACAAATGAAAGGGGGGTTTCAGAGTTGGTGTTTAGGAAACCCAAGAGGCTGCAACCAAGTAAATTAGGACACTGAAAACAAACGTGTTTCAAATCCATAGCTTTACCTAGGGCTTGGACTACACAGAAATCTTTTTCGGTGGCTTTGAAAACCCCATGACACAGCAAGTGTGGCAAAACTAAATTAGTAAGTACTTCACCTAGCAGCTTCAGGAAAGAAATAGTTACCCTGCATTGTTGGAATTTTCTAAAGAGGGAGTATTAAAGTCAGTTGAAAAGGCTAGTCTATTCAAAATTACAGAACTATGTAAGGAAACTCATGATTATCAGTAGCAAAAACTACCAGGGTGCTTCCAGGGAATGAAAGCTGTACAATATACACATTAAACATTAAAGAAATTTGAGAAGCAAGGGGTTGAGACCGCCAGCTGTTCATTGAGCTTGACAGGGTATGGCTGGCGATTCAAGATCAAAGATGCCTCAACTTGCTCTAATCAGGGAGAGACCTCCTTGCCTAAGCGCGTTCATGCCAGTAGTCAGTAGAGACGCATCCATGCACTAAATCTTGAACCTGAACTAAGTGTAAATATTCTAGGGTGTTTAATTTACCTCCCATCCCGGTTCAAAGGCAGACCCATGCTAAATAACCTCCCCTGCAAAGCCAAACACTGATCTCAAACATAGATTGTACGGAGCACAGAAATGAGACATTTTAGCACTGGATTGGCATACAGACTGCAAATAAATAAATAAATAAATAAATAAATAAATAAATAAA